TGCACTTCTTTTAAGAAAAAACAACTTATCTAGATTTAGATTTTTTACAGTGTATATGGTTGAGCAGCATAGACCTCTAAGCTGTGTCGGATTGGGTGATGCTGTGTCTACTGTAACAGGTCTATGATTACAACACTCCCTCAACAAGCTAACCTGCCTGAGGATTTATGAAGGGTTCTCAAAGCAAAACTAAAAACTATCCAATTCTTGTTTAAACCCAGTCGGCTCAAGAGACAGAAACGCCATCTGCTCAAATCTTTTTCTGTCTTTTCTGTGCTACAGCTGTTTTACAATAAACCATGTCCTTTCACAGGAACGTCAGTTTAAGGCTTGGAGTAAAAAAGCCTCAAACCAGTGTAGATCCATTTAAAACAACTTTATAGATATCTTAAAGAGAATAAGCCCCAACAAGATCCAGATGTTTGTTTTATTAGTTTTCATAGACTGCTAAGGTAAAAAAAATAGCAGTATTATTCCCAAAAATCTTTAATGGTTGATCTTGCAAGCATGTTTTCTACAGTCTCTTTTACATAATTTTGCAAGTCCAACTTGTGTTTATGCATTACCTGTCCACACTGAGAGCACACAGGTTGAGGACGGTGATGCCGACTGAAGCNAACAAGATCCAGATGTTTGTTTTATTACTTTTCATAGACTGCTAAGGTAAAAAAAATAGCAGTATTATTCCCAAAAATCTTTAATGGTTGATCTTAGCACCATCTATAAAACTATGCTTTTTGCTTAATTTTGCAAGTCCAACTTGTGTTTATGCATTACCTGTCCACACTGAGAGCACACAGGTTGAGGACGGTGATGCCGACTGAAGCTTTCTGCAGGAATGGAAACAGCTTGCAGAGGAAAAGACCAAAGAGGCTGTCTGCGAAGGGCCACTGCATCGCCAGGAGCTGCACAGAAGAAAAAAGCAACGAGTCATCAGGAGATTAACATGATACCAGGGAGTCTTTGTGATCTATCTAAAGGAAGTGTGTGTGGGGTGTGTTATCACAATCAAAGGGGTATTTTTGTTGTCTTATCAGCATAACACTCAACCTCCTGACAGAGACTCTCAACACAAGGAGCTACAGCCAGAAAGTTCTTCCTGATTCGATACAACCAAATTAGGTTGTTTGGAAATAACCAATTAAGCAAAAGGCTTAAATACACGAAGAACTCTACCTTGTAGACATTGATTGGGATGTCTATGGCGATGTATATGAGGTCTCCCAGGGCGAGGCTGGCTATTAAGGCGTTGGGTCCATTCCTCATGCTTTTATTTTGGTAGATAATCCTCAGCAGGGTGGCGTTTCCAATGATCCCAACAGCAAAGATCAAGCAGGACAGCACTGTGTTAACATATTTGAAAGCACTTTTTATTGAGGTTTTCTGCTGGCAGGAGGGGGGCGTTTGGGTCTTTGATGAGTTGGAGGATGATATGGGCGGTAGAGGCTTTTTATCAAGTTTGGGCTTAGGTTTGTTCAAAGCCGTCAGTTTTCCTTCTTCAGAGTCCAACGAGATTGGCGGTTTATTAACAGTCTCTTGTGAGATATGCGTCTCTGTGTTTGAAGTACGATGGACTGCGGCCAGTCGAGGAGGAGGGTCGTTGTTGGGCAGTTCAGATATCCCCACTTCTGACTGAAGAGGCTGAGGTGTGAAGTTACTTTGGCAGCCAACATGGGAGACAAACAGGAAACACCAGATAAACAGCATCAAGGTGAACATGTTCGGCATAGAAGGTTTTCCTGGTTCCACTCTGAAAGAGAGTTTAGCCCTTAAACCCATTACTGAATCTAAAGCCTGGAGTCCAGAAGCCATCTTGAACTTTGAGGTAGAGGCTGAGAAAGTCATTGAAGAATAAAGATTTACTTGGAAACCGACACTTTGAAGCGCTGAATAATCAGTTGCCAGAAGGACCTTTTATTGAAGCTCCTTGTGGATAAGTGGTGCTGGAAGATTTAATAAGGTTCTTTAAGCGATTCAGCATGGGAGTCGTGAGTTAACAGATCACTGTATTGTTTGGAGACAATCTGCAGAAAAGAGAAAAACAAACCAGGGTTAGCTTCAGGTGGCACCACTATGGAGATCATGGCGGATTTACCGTTCGGCAAAACTAGGCAGTTGCCTAGGGCCCCAAGTTCCTGGGAGCCCAATAAAACTCCTTTTACATGAATGGTTATTACAACTATTCTTTATTTGTGTTTATTATGTTTTTGATAAAAATCCTTCCGCTAAAATGCCATCACAATGCTTATAATATCAAGTGAGTCTCATCAGTCTATTTGCTGCACATGTTCAGAAAGGCCCAAACAGACAGCAGCAAATCATTTGAAAACAAACAATGCAAAGAGCAGTGTTGCCATCTTAGCGCTCTAGTCACAATATTTAGTGACTTTACAGACCCCTCTAGGACTTTTATTTGAAAAAAGCGCCTAGTGCCAAATCTAGCTGCTTTTTTCTGCTACTGGAGACTTTGGCGACAACATAAAAAAGCAGCGAACTCTGCTCTCCAGAGCAAGTAGCCCCACCTCCTGTTCTCCCCTATCTTGTCTGCTGTCATAATTCATGCAGCTATTATTAGATCATGGCTTGTCTACAGTGTTTCCTGTGAAACACAGGAAGGAGCAATCAGCTAAGTTAGCATTAAAAGTCAGCTACGCACATTGCCGATATGAAAAGAAAAGGGGACAAAAGAAAAATTAGAGAGAGAAACAGCAAGGATAAGGTTAAGAAGGGACAAAAGGTATAAAAAAATCATGTATGTCTATTCTATAAACATTTCTGTATGGGTCTGTTTTATGTGTTGTCTTCTTAATTCATAGGGCCCCATGCCTGTCTTTGCCTAGGGCCCCAAATTTCCTAAATCCACCCCTGATGGAGATCATATTAAAGCAACAGTGTGCAAGTTTTGCCATTTCCAAAACCTCCCCTGTGTAACTTGACAGGGTTGGATCTGTCACTGAATGAGTGATGTGACCTAATCAGATATTTGGGTTAATTAGGGATTTAAATGTGGCCTTGTCTTTACAAGTAACTTCTTAATCTGCTGTTCCAAACGGTTCTGCTACCATATTCCAATACGCTGAGGTTTAATTGTTCAGTTATAGACAATACAGTGTTTCCAGTGACCTCTTGGGGTGCTAAAGCTGGAAGTTACAGGTCTAGCACCCCTAGTGGCTAAATGCTGCACAACGTTGCTTCAACAAAAACCTCAATATTCTTCGTTTCTAATCATAAGAAACTCATCTTTAAAATCTCATTAAGACAAAATAGTAAGAGGAAGATGTACAATTGAGTTTTAAATGTAAATTGTTTAGATTTAAAGCATAAATAAATGGTCAGAGTTCAGAATGCCCATTTATGTAACTTGAAAGTTCAAAAAGGTTAAAAAGACTGTGTTGTAGGTTTCTTTAGAAAAAATAACTTCTATTGAGTCATAAAGCATTATTAGAATAGTTATAAATCTATATGTTGTTTATGATTACTGAAAATTAATTTAAAACTGCTATACATTAACATTACATTAATGCAAATATGAGGGTTTATTTGTCTTTGGGAAAATCTGTTTTATTAAAGCAAGTATAGAGATTCTTATTCTTAGAAATATTTTAAAAAGCGAAACTTTTTACTGTTATATTCAGATGATCTTCTAATTATGGTATAGTAAACTTACTTCAAAATAAACAGCATATAGACCAAATGAATAGAGACAGATTATTACGGGAAAGAAAAACCTTTAAATTTAGCAAGTTAGCTGTAATGAGAATTTTAGCTTAGTGATGTGTGTCTTAAATATTTGCATTAAGGATATATAAAGAGTGTTAGGAATGAAATAGGTGCAGGAAATATGACGATATATACAATAGTTTACATTTTTTATGTTTCAGAGGTTTAATTTTTCTTGTTCTGTTTATGATAAACAGATAAAGATCTGATCTCCACGCTTCAACTTTAACAAATACAATAAATCAAAGGAAGTTTCTTGATACAACAAAGGAAAAAGTTACTGACTTCATAATAAAATGAGCCAAATTCTGTCATATTAAACATTTTGTTAATGAAATGGTTCTAGTTTCTTAAATTTAACCAAACCAAAAACTATATTTAAAGTTCTTATTCCCTATTTTCTAATTTGACTACAACACTGGTACCTAAATGTTAGTTCGGCTTTTTAAAGTAAAATAACCACAATAATTGGCTGAAACGTGATATTTTGCTTCCTATAATTAATGAAACTTTGCCATATATAAAAACAACCACCTGGATTTGTTAATTTTTCCCTTTTTTAAGGTCAGCAGGTAAATAGATCAATATCTGATTAAATGTATAGTTTGTAAAGTTAGTATCTAATAAAAATAAAGCTAAAAAACATGAAAGGTTAAAAGCAGATAGCTACTAAAGAGAAAAATAAAAGCTTACCTGTCTGTGCTCTTTTATTCTATATTGTAGATATATTCCCTTCAGGCTTGTGAAATCCAAAGACGTGTGCCGTTCTAGGCTGTGACAAGGCTAATCTAGTCTGTTAGGTTCTGGTTTGTAATCACCCCCTATTCACTGTTCTCTCCTCCTTTCGTCCCCTCCTCCTTTCTCTCCGCTGTCATCTCTCATCAGCTGCATTTTCAACTTCCCCTCTCCTCCTTTGTTGCCGCACTTCACCTCCTCCCAGTTGTTTCCTCCTCGTTTTTCTCATCTGTTTCACTTGGTTACGACGGAGCATCTTGTAAACACTCTGAACTTTTACTGTCCAACGCAAACCAAAAGCCTGGACTGGCAGTTTGCTGGAAATCAAAGTTGTTAACTTTATTATTGGGTTAGGGTTTGTTTGAACACAACTGATGCCATATAAAGTCAGCTTATTTGAGCATACAGGCTTTCTTTTTTATATCAGCTTTTATAGTGTTTAGGGAAACTCTTTGAAAGATGCACTTAAGTTTTGTCTGCTTTGAAGGAGAATTGACAACTCTTGATAAGAATTGGATTTAAAGCAAATAAAAATGCTACCAACCGTTTGTTAGTTGAGTTAACCATTACATAAGTTATCTATTTTCTTTTAAAACATTAATGGTTTTAAAAAGAAAATTGTTTTCAAAAGAAAGTTAGAAGACTATTTTTTTTCAAATAGCCAAAACACATTTTTGAATCTCTATTAAAACATTCCAAAAAAAAAAGAAAATTAAAAACAATCTACTGGACTTAGTTTCCATGTTTGAAAACATTTTGCTTCCCATCTAGGAAGGTTTCTCTATTCACAATGTCAGGAATAGCGTTGAGTTTCAAACAAAGTCCAGTAGATTGTTTTTAATTTTCTTTTTTTTTTTTTGGAATGAATATAACCTGGATGACTGAGAATCTTCACCAGCGCTCTATTAAAACACTTATCTTTTGGATGCTTTGAAGAGGAATCAACAAATCTTGATAAGATTGTGATTTAAAGCAAATAAAAATGCTACCAAATGTTTGTTAGTTGCGTTAACCATTATATAAGTGACCTATTTTCTTTAAAAACATTAATGGTTTTAAAAGGAAAATTGTTCTTAAAAGAAAGTTAGAAGACTATTTTTTCCAAATTGCCACAACACATTTTTGAATCTCTATTAAAACATTAAAAATAAATAAATAAATAAAAACAATGCACTGGACTTTATTTCCAAGTTTGAAGACATTTTGCTTCCCATCCAGGAAGCTTTTTCAATTAAAATGTCACAACTCATTTTTAAATCTCTATTATTTTTAAACTGTTTTCAGTAAAGTTTGACTCTTCCTACAAAACCAAACTACAGTATTACATCAACAAACAACACTATTAAACAAACATTGGCAAATGAGACCCTTACTTAATCAAAGCAAAAAAAACACTTAGCAGAAAAAATGATATACAATCAGATCTTTAAGACTTTGAAACAACATTTAACATGCAAAAATAAAATCCATTTTTAAAGTAAAACTCTTATTTATACCTTAAGTAAAAGATGTATTTGAAATAATATAGAAAATGGTTTGTTTTTTGAACATATGTAGTATATACTCTATGACATCATGCTGGCATGGTGGGTCAGGCCTTAGGACCTCATCTATATCGCAGGCCACATTCTTCTTAGCAAGGCAGCGTGTGAAATATTTCCCGGTATGCTGACTCCACGCATGGCATGCATCGAGGTTTGTTTTATTACTGCCAGTTCCATGGCATGTAAGATGTTCCCTGATGTAGGGTTGCTGGACATAAACCTCCCATAATCATGAAGTGAAGAACTCCTCTGTTAGGTTGAGGGAAGGAGACTATAGAAGGAAACCACTTTTGTTTGATTCTGAACAACTTTGACGTGGATAACATGGTCCCATGCAATAACGCCATGTATGTGCATGATTCTGTTGCAGAGGACGAAGATCCCTTAAAAATCACAGAAGATATTTAGGATTGTGTTTGCTCTGCAACAATGGTTTCATACAAATGATGTTCCAGTTTAGGTCACACATCCACTCGGGTGGTCAGATCTGCTTTGGCCCTGCCCCTGCTTATGACGTCACAATATGGCAGCGTCACTCGGACACACTGTACCCATTTCATTGGAATCAAATCTTTTCTGACTTCTTAACTTAATTTAGCTTCATTTACTATATTTGCTGTTATCTTACATTTCCTTTTGCGACCTAAAGTAGCCAAAAGTCAGGGCTGGAAAGTAATGAATAACATTTACTCAAGTTACTGTAATTGAGTACTTTTTATGAGTAATTTTTTAATTTTCTGAGTAGTTTTTGAAATATGTAATTTTTACTTTTACACGAGTAAATTTTAACCTAAGTAGTTTTACTTTGCTACATTTAAACCCCTCTCACATTACTGAGTTAAAAAAAATAAAATAAAATACTGATGGTGAAAAAATTAAATGTGGCCCTGCCTTGCATTTATTTACCCTTTGTATTGTCCCATAATCCAGTGCTGCGCTTTGGAAGATGGCAGTTGCTAATCACAATTTAAGGGAGTATGGATGCGGAAAGGCCTGAAGAGGAAACATATTCTGGTACGAAAGCCAGAAAAACCCTCGGCCATATTTGGAAGGATTATTTGTTTTCAAATGCACAAAAGGGAACAATGTGTGTGCCTGCCCAGCAAAACAGAGCTTTCGGATTTTAAAACATCAACATCCAATTTACGAAAAAATGTGGCGGTAAGTTAGTTATCATGGTGTTGTCTGTTGGACAGTAGGATTGAAAATAGTTTGCACTTTATGGTTCAGGTTGTGACTGTCCTTGTGCTGTAAGGAAGTGTGTTCCTTAGCCCAGCTGATCTTTTGCAAGTGTGGATGTCACTGAAATACNTATTTTTCTTCCTACTTCTGACTTCTACTTATTACATTTTCACACAAGCATCTGTACTTTCTATTCCCTACATTTTTAAAACAAACGTTACTCGTTACTCTTGGCTTCGGTTTAATGTCTCTAAATATTTATTTCCCTTCATGTGCTCCATCCAATGCAGATCATTGGCTCCATCCGCATCTAGTGAAAACTAGTGTAATTGGATGAGTCATTTAACGCATCCCTCACTGGTTAGCTAAAGGAAATCATCAGTAGGAAGCAGGTGTTCTTCAAACTGCAAACGAGAATTGTCTATGCCATGCTACAACGTGGGATTCAGAAAAAGATGTTGAAATGTTTGAAAGGTTGGACACAGGCGAGAGCGTGTCGTATTTTTTAATGGTTACTTTATACTTTTATACTTTAAGTAGTTTTTGGAGCACATACTTTTTCACTTTTACTATACTTCTACTTAAGTAACAAATGTGCTTACTTTTGACACCACTGATTTTAACCTAAGTAGTTTTACTTTGCGTATTATTTACTTTGAGTAAAAAAAAAAAAAATACTGATGGTGAAAAAATTAAATGGGTCTCATAATCCAGTGCTGCGCTTCGGAAGATGGCAGTTGCTAATCACAATTTAGGGAGTATGGATGAGGAAAGGCCTGAAGAAGAAACATATTCTGGAGACGACAGCCAGAAAAACCCTTTTCCATATTTGGAAGGAATATTTGTTTTCAAATGCAGAAAAGGGAACATTGTGATAACGCAGTGCAACATGTGGCTGCCCAGCAAAATGGAGCTTTCGGTTTTTAAAACATCAACATCCAATTTACGAAAAAATGTGGCAGTAAGTTAGTTATCATGGTGTTTTCTGTTGGACAGTAGGATTGAAAATAGTTTGCACTTTATGGTTCAGGCTGTGACTGTCCTTGTGCTGTGGGAAAGTATGTTCCTTAGCCCAGCTGATCTTTTGCAAGTGTGGATGTCCACTGAAATACGCCTTGAAATCGATTAAAATACCTTATGCTCAATTTGATTCATGACTCATCCTTTTTTTTTGCATTAAATAACTCAAAGTAACTAAGTAACTTTTACTCAAATTACATTTTAAATGAAGTAATTTCGTACTTTAACTTGAGTAAATTTTGAGATGGGTAACTTTACTTTTACTCTGAGTAGAATTTAGGCAAAGTAAAGATACTTTTACTCAATTACAATTTTGTAGTACTCTTTCCACCTCTGCCAAAAGTAAAAAACAGTCATTCTCAATCTTGAAGGCAAGTAATGCGTTCTACTACAGACTAATGCTACGTTCAGACCGCAAGCAGCAAGAGCAGCAAAAAGCGTGTGCTGCTTCATTTTTGATACAAGTTTAGTTCTGACGCGCGGCTGAAACATCTTTCCTGCTCCAGCTGCGCGGTGGTAAAGTGGATCTGATGCGCGTCGGGCGGAGCCCCCCTATCCTTTATATGCCTGTAACAATGGCAGCTATATTTGCTGTGATCAGTGGGTAAAAAGTAGTTTTAGTATGTTTTTAAGTGAGAAAGTCCACCTGAAAACTTCATCTGTGCAGTCAGTTCATCCGGATTACCATCCTGCAGACATGGGCAATGTGGAGGAAACAAGTCATCTCCATGTCATGTATTAGTTCTACCCAGCCACTGAAGCAGGTGAGTCCAATCTTCACCATGAATTAACCTGTGCAGATTGGACTCACCTGGTTAATTGGCTGGGTAGATTAAAAACATGACATGGAGATGACTTGTTGACTCCACATTGTCCATGTCTGCCATCCTGCATTCAAATATTATTTCTGCCGGAGCGGCTCAGACCCACGTACGACGGCGGTGCGCTGTCACTAGGATTTTCCGTTCAACAGCAGCCTCTGGCCCGGTCGCCCATTTGCCTCGATGGCTGGAAGGCGTTTTCATGTACCTAATCCAACCTGCAGGCACCAGGATAATAAAAGCGAACATGCTTTCCCCGCAGATTTTGGCATTTTTAGTTAATTTAGATGTTAATAAACAGTTTCAGAGGAGTGATCATAGTGATCAGCATCAGCAGTACTGTGTCTGTCTCCCTGCCAGCTCCCAGATCAGCTACTCTGATTGGTTGATGTGGGGCGTCGAGCAGCAAAAGTAAAATTTTTCTAACTCCAGCAGCAGCGGCATATGCGGGATCCTTTTGCTGAGCCTTGATGGGCGTCAACCAACCATTGACTTTGCATGTAAACTAGCTGCTTCTGCTGCCT